CGGGCTGGAACCAACTGCAGGGCAGCAAACAACTACGAATGTATTTGTGATGTTTCATTTCTTTTTTTGTTGTTGCTTTTTTCCAAATCACCATCCCCACTTTAACCTCCATCTTCAGTATCCAAAAGATCATCATTATAGAGAGTAAACACAATATAAATAGTTGTAATACTAGAGCAAAATAGAACCTTTTGTCCCTTTAGGCAGGATTTCCATGGGGTTTATTTGGCAGCCACACCCAATCTGGTGTCCTCAACCACTAGGCCCTGTCTGTGGAGGAAGGGGTGTGTGGGCAACTTGCAGGCCATACATTCACCCGGTTTTATCCAAGTTCACTCAGAGAACCAACAAGGATACCATGCTAGAGAACAAGATGACTTCCTTTATTGATTCTCTGAAGTATATCTGTTCACTCAAGTCCTAAGCCTTCTTTGAAATGTCTCCCACATGAACCTGATTTTTATTTCCCAGTCTCCCTTTTGTCGGTGATGTCTTAAACCCTCGTCCCATGCCCTGGTGAATACCCTGCCATGTCTCTCTACCCCTGTGTATTCCCTCTTGAATAGTTCCTACTAAGCCATGCCAGATAATGCTTTCTAAAGCCTGATGTCATTGGTACCAACCCTTGGGTTCCAAAGTTTTAAGACCCCTCTTCAATCTTATGTAGCCCCCACCGGCACCTCTATGACTGGCCCATTCACCTCATCCTTTCCAACTCTGCCTCTAAGTGACCTAACACTGTTGTAAAGACCCCTGGGTCTGAGATCAGAGGAGCAAGACTAGAATCCTAACCTCACCTCCTTGTAGTGTGACTTTGGGCAAATCTTTTATCCTCTCTGAGGAAACTTCCTCTTCAGTAAGATTGGAAGAAGATTTAGAGAACAACCTTCATTAGGTTTCTGTGAGAATTAAATGCAACATTCTCAGTTCAGTAGTGTAGGAGGTTGTTACCATATGTATTGATAGGACGTCCCCTGCTGTTTACACATCCTCACTAATAGGTGTGTGTTCAGTCTTCAAAGTCCTCCCACGTGTCCATGTGAATCAAGATGATCACTCCCCTGAATTTGCCTTGTATTCCCCCCCCCAGACATTTGATATGGGATGTCTTCAATCATACAGCTTTTATGTCTATGCGATGGATCCGCAAAGAATTGCACTAAATTTTGCAGGTTTGCAGACGATTGGGATTCTGAAGTTATTCAGTATCTATCGCAGTGCAAAGACTCTTTGATGATAGGAATCTTAAGTTGTCTTTTCTGTGCCATTACACAGCTGAGGTCAAGATACTGCAGATAGAGCTGTTGTTAAGTTACAGTGCTGGAATTATGCCTCAAGATTTTTGCTTGCTTTTTTTTTGGGTTTTCAAGGACATACAGTCTCTGCTTTCAAAAAGTAAATCACAAATTTCCCAGAAACCTTTGAGGTATTAGCAGGGAATGCCTAGTGAATTTACTTCAGAGATCTTTCCAGCTCGGCTTATTGCTCACTGCACGGATGCGCTTTGGGAAATGGCATGAAGCCATGGATTTGGACAATAAGGTTGCCTACAGCAGTAATTTCAGAATAACACAACGAATAGGCTGATCTTCTACACTAACAGTATTGATATATGTCCCTTTTATAATCCTGGAAGAAAAAAAAAGTAAAATGAAATAAAACAAGACTTACATTTAATGGATATCCTCATTATAAAATCTTACAGCAATAATAGGCAAACACAATCTAATATGAATTATCAAATGGTTCATTACTGAGGCCAATTCATTTATTTTTAATTTTTTTCTTCTCCCAACTGTTTCTCATTAGTTATAAAAGACAACTTATTTCAGTTATGGAAGGTCACACATACTTTATGTCCGAGGATATTGGAGTAAGTATTTGCTGTGAGTGTAACACACACTCAATGTGTTGCTGTGATCTGAATATTTTGTGCTTCATTAAATACTTTGTACATAAAGAACAATGACCTCAAGTCATGTGCTTATAATTACCTGAAATACCTATCTAGAAATCAGTGATCCTGAGAAATAGTTCACAGCCAATATGGAGGTGATGTGATGTATAGATCAGAGCCATACCTATTATGCCAAGTCACTGTCACCCAAACGACAAGAGTGCTCTCCCTCCCTCTGTCCTATGGTTCATTGTTTATGTTCTCCATCCACATGTCTCTATCTTGCAGTTTTTCTCCTGTACTTTAGTATCACTTAAAACTATACATTGACATGTATGCTCATAAGGGTACTATTCAGCTGCCTGTCAAAGACATTCCCAAAACATAAGCCCTTATCTGAGGAAACCCGCTCACACTCCTGCCTTTAAGTAACTGGAAGCATTTTTACCTGATAATATTCCTAACCAAACTTTTTAACTAAAGTTATTTCCCATGACCATCTTGTGTCAATTGCATGAATAAAATAACTCTTTAAATGTTCAGACAATCTAAGCAAAGCATGCATATTTGAATATACTGTTCTTTTTCCAATTTTGACTCAAATATCACAATAGACATTTTAAAATCAAACAGATACCTGTGCCCAAAACAATTTTCCTCCAGTACCAAAATTGCCAACATCATTCAGATCCTGAATATTTGGACTTGTTTTTATTTGAGAAAGGGACTTAAATCATGTTCTACTTGTTTCTCCTTGTTCTAGAAGCTACCAGTCATTCCGCACAAGCCCTATTCAAGGGGTAGATATTCAGAAATGTAATAAAGATAGACTAGCATGACTTAATAGGATTGAATACCATTGAGCTCAATTATTCATGAAATGTCTGCAGAGTCCATGCCAGGTCCCCATTGGTTGCTTTGTGTGCAGATCTGACTCATGGAATGGCAGCTGCAGGGTGGAATCCAAGAGCAGGGAACTACGCCTGCCATGAGTGACCCCAGCAATCCCATAGCAACTGAGCCTTAAAGAGGTGTGCTCCACCCACTCTCACTTCCACCCTTCATTAGGCACATATTTGGGGGTCTATTTGACAAAATATCCAGAAAGCAAAAACAAAAACGGATGCTCTTCTGGAAGTGAGGACATCTAGCAATATTAAATCTATTAGTCAGAAAACACAAGGGCTCAAGGACAAACGGTATCGCCAAGGACTTGGTAGAATCAAGGATTGAGCTTGGTAGAATCAAGGATGTAGAAAGGAACTTTCTACAATGTTAGAAATATTTTACGTATGATTATGTACCATATACACATGTCATTTGAGATGTTAACATCATTTAAATTGACTTCAACTACAATTTAAATGGTCACCTATGGATAGTGGCTGCCATATTGGACCAGGTAAGTTTAGAGCCATGACTGGAAGTTTACCAAGAGTCTTTAGATAATGTCCATTTTTTTCTTTTTCAAAAATGATCTAAGAAGGAATTGTTCTCACCAAGCATGTTCATCCCAGTAGTGTCTTCATCAACAGACTCAAGCATTACAGCACTCTGACTGTTGTCAGGGTCCCTGGGAGTCTGAACAGACACCCTGGCACCTGATCACACCAGTCATAGCATCAACAGCGGGGAGCCAATGCAATGTGAATTAAAAATCAATCGACTGTCCCAACAACCAAGATGATTGCAAACTTAATCTCCTTGACCTATGTTTTTTTCCATGTTGGCTATAGTCTTACAGATAAAAGGGGGTAAGGAGGGACTTTAAAAGAAGATTTTCTATCTTGCCATCTCAGTGTCCTGCCTTGTGCTAACTGAAAGTTATAAGCAAAACCAGACTGCCAAAAAGATAAAGCAGGGAGCCGATAGTTTTAAAATGTAGTTTGCTAGCACAGTAGAAGGCAACTGTAGTACCCGATAATACCAGAGTTCCAAGAGTCCTTAACCATTAGCTCCTCAGTCCTGTCCTGCAGATAAATAAGTAATTTGGTGCCCAGGAATGTGGAGTGTTCAGTGTCCCAGAGAATGCATTTGGTACCAGAGCTCCTGGCTTGTTGTCATCCCACTAGGATCTTCACCCCACTCTACTGAGAACAGATTGAGCCTTGAGGAGAGAAAGCCGCATCTCTTTCCCCACTTGTCCCGGCCTCTGGTGAGTAGAGCACAGGGCGTCTAGTCCTAACTGGACTGCTCAGTGTGACAAAAAAGCTCCCTTCACAAACAACAGCAATCTTAAAGACCATGCAATTTACAGAGCACAATGTGAAGAAGGAAGTTACAATATGCGAATGTTCTAAGAGAATGCTTTCCAGACAGATTTTCAGCGTACCATGTATTTTGCTATGCAATCGGCTAGCAATGTAGTAAAAGATGCATGAGTTCAAGAGAGAAAGTGCCACGTATCCACAAAACAAACGACTACTCTGTTCTCTTTGGGTGCTTAACGGGCAATGAAAACGTATTATTAAGATAAAAGCCACGCAATATTCAGGGGGAAAACAAAACAAAACTGACTTTTCCTTTGAGATGTCTTCTATCTCAAAACTTTCACATTGGAGAAAATGGAGATCCAAGATTAAATGGCTTTCTTTCTCCAAGTGGGTACGAGCTGGATCTTAAAGCGAGAATTTCTACCTTTGGGTGCACGGCTTTTGTTCTTGTTTTGCACTTGACAAATGACAGTCAGCTAGATGTCTAAAACCATAAAACTAGAAATGAAAGGATAATTATCCTTTATGTGTCACCGTTATTTTGAAAGGTTTTATAGTTTAAACTTGAATAATATTGTGACAAAATATTTCCCATGGTTTTGTATGTCATGACATGGGCCACCGATGGGCAAAAGCCACCACCACCATATGGTTCAAGAACTATGTCAAAGATCAGGGCACGAGTCAATTTTATTGCCTGGCTTTCATAAACTTTCCCTGTTCTCAGATAATCCTCTACAGATAAATACCACATGACTGGCAATAAGAGCAAGAGATAAAGGATATGGCACATTTTAACTGGCATGTACATTGAATTTTAGACTGTGTTCTCATAAGTGAATTCCTAAGAGAAATAGAAAATCCTAAATAAACACAAGAAGCGGGCTTACATTCTGGTGCTGCTGGTCTTGTTGATGATAACAGATTTCCCTGTTTGATCCACATTGTGGTCCAGGCCGAAGTAAGCTGCCACCCGGTGCACAAGCATCCTCTGATATGATGACATCTGAGGGAACTTTTTATAATGATTGCTGTGACAGAATTCAAGAAGAAATGCAGTCTGCAGGTTAGTGTCTATGCTGTGTTATGTGTTACAGGTGCATCCATAAATCCATTTCTCTTTCATCCCGACCACTGGGCCCATTTCATCTCTGGCATCCCTTGATGTCCTTCCTCACTTCCAGACAAATGTTCCACTTATTATAGATTTATTGATTAAGCTACAATTAAGTGTCATTGTTTCATAGTTGCATGTTTCTCTTGCCAAAGAGATCTTAATGTCTCTTGGAAAGTGGTCTCTTCTAGTGGGTGAAATATGGTTCCCAGGGTCAGGCACAGGGCAAATGATGCGACACAATACGTGACTGCAGATTCCGATCCGGAGAAGTGTCATTACACTGCTTGTACTGAAAGCAGCACAATTATTTCCAGGCATAACTGACTGCAGCCAGCTGGAACCCATTAAAAAACTATCATAAAAATGAAAAGGGTCGCTTCTTTTACAGCTACTTTATGCTAATCACTCGCCCCCTGTTTATAGCTATTTTGCCAGGAATGTAACAAGCGAGAGCTTACATGGCCCAAGTAACAATTCTCACCAGCATCCAACTCCTAACTCCAAGAGCACTGCCATTATGCAAACCAAGAAGCCAATTAGACAATGGTTTCTCCATCCCTGAAGTAGGCAATAAAGCTCAAATACCAAACTAAGGCACAGCTTAGAAATTAACCCAGAATGGCAAGGAAACATACTTGCTGTCACCAATGAACTCAATAACTTCCTGCTCCACTTTCAAGAGTATCATCCTGTCCCTGGAAAATAAATAGCACAATAAGGAAGTGTCTTATGCCCTTCCCACTCCCGAGGTCTCCTTAGTTCATTGGGAGATGTGCTACCTGTGAGGACAGAGCTGAGCTAACGCTTCTCTGGAAGGTGCTGCCCGCGCTCAATAGTATTTTGCTCTACTGATGAGAATTTTTTTCTCATTCGGTAAGTTTTTATAATATTGGAACTTCTGTAGTTCCAATGCTATGGCATGCAAGCTACTAGGCCTAGAAAACATAAAATAAACAGTAGCATTCATATAAATAGGAGCAAAGCAGAACCCATTATTGACTGTAGATGAACATTTAACTGCATTGAAACACAATTGGATTATTTAACACTGATAATTCTGAATCTAGTTGGGTTCTCCCACCCCCCACCCCCCCCTTAGTAGGTATCTTTTTGTGACCAGGAATATGGGACTGGGACATTATAATTTATTCACTTGGGTGACCTTCCCAGAAATTGAGACTATCTATAAACACTAAACACGTGGGGGGAAAAAAGGGCGCCATGTATGGGGAAGCCTATGGGAGGGACGACACCTGCATTTTCCAACTGCCTGCCTGGGAATAGTCAAATGAACAACTTTGATTCGAAGATTCAAACTGACCCTTGTGAAAATAAGTGGGTTGTTTAAGATGTTACCTGGAGTTATTCCTTAATGTGTTAATCAGAAACCCGTGTAAATCTACGCCTGTAGAATCCGTATATTCTTGGCTGCAATCTGAAACGAACAGCAGGAGGCGTGATCAGGGAGGACGGCACGGTGGGGGACAGGCGAGCAAGGGGCCCTTTTCCAGGCTCTCCTGTGGCTCTAGTGTTGAGGCCACTCTTAGAGGAGAGCTACATGGTTCAAACTAGCACGTGGCAGGATGACCAGAGACGGAAAGTGCCCTTGAGAGAGAACAGAGGACACCCAGGAGATTCTGAGGGTGGGAAGGCCCATCTGTCACAGGTGAGGAAGTGGGCCAGTCAAGGGAGGGGTGAGGGTGGCTGGGTGGAGCCAAATGTCACATGTTCATTCTGTACTGCAAGTCACCAGGGCCACACCCTCTTCATGACAGGTGCTCCCAGCCCACACAGAAAGCTCTCTCAAATTTAAGAAAGACCATACCCATCTCTCCCTTAAAACTGAGAAGGCAGAGGAACTACGTCTCACTCTACAGAATGGATATCCAAATAGCCACCTGCCTAAAATAGAGGACACTGAACACTGTCTACTCGTCTGAGTCTTCTTCTCATGCTGGGGAAAATATCATTTCTAAAACCGTTTTAGGAATCTTTACCTCTTTCCTCCTGTAGATACCTTAAAGACCCTCTGAGACAAGTTGTGACAAGAGTCCAGGAGCTACTAACAGAAGTCATTGTCATTCCTGCTGATCAAAATGCCCTATTCTGCCTCAGTTAGGAAAACAAACAACTGCACTGGCTGAAAACAAACAAACCAAAGAAGGACCCTGCTAGAGCCTGCTCAGTCCTGTGTATCTCACCCCTCACCCGGCAGCCTCTAATTCAATTTTGCTTTGCTCTTTATGCACGTACAAATGTGTCAACAACAACTTACACTCTAAACTGAGTTTGGCTTTGAGACTTCAGAAGGATTGACTTTATTTTTTTGGCAACGTTTTTATTGAAGTAGATGAGTATATTTAAAAAGAGAGAGACCTTATGAGGCAGAGTAGGGGTGCTGAAGCCAAATGCATCTGTCCCCGTGAAGATGTTCATCATGCATCCCACTGACATCTACAGCTGTGCTTTGGGGATCACACTAGCTTTCTGCTGAGAATTGCTTATACTCTTTTGTCTTTTAAGATAAGCGGGAGAGTTAAGATATAAAGCCTAGTGTCATCACTCGGCATCAATCACTGTTATTTGAACTATTAAACCTGAATCAAGAGCAGATTTATATTCACTCCATTGTGTGGGGCTGTCACTGGAGAACCAAATGTAAATCCAAAGAACTGCGTGATCCTAAAAGGAAAAAAGAAACGAAACAAAACAAAAAAACCAACTCTGGCTACACAAACAATGACATCGCGACTGTGAAGAGAACCACGTGCATGGACACATACCTGCACATAGAGAACTACAGGGTCGAATGTGCTGGGAGGTGAGTAGGCATTCACTCGTGAGCTCTAGGGCGTATTCGGTGACTAACTACGGGCCCAACTGGAGTAAGTTAAGGAAGCATTTCCCCATTCACCTTTTGATAACATTCTGATCTTGGGTTTTTCAGAGGTTTTATCTTTGTTTTTATCCTTGTCTTTTTCTTTTTCAGAGCCATCTTTTCTAGATTTATCATCCTCTTGCAGGCTGGGAAAACTGGAAAGCTGTAAATGAATTGGTTCCTGTTGGGGGAAAAAATATAATCATTTAGGGCCAGATTTAAGGATCTCTGCCTGGTTTCCATTGGGGGTGGAGGTTTTTAAGGAGAGGAAAATGAAAGCCAGATGCAGGGTTTTTCTTTCTCTTAAATCGTAAAAAATTAAACCTGTCAGAAAAATAATTGCCCTTTAAGGAGAGTTGAACTTCAGAAGTCAATGGGAGGTCAAGAGAGTCATCTAGTGCTAAAAGTTTGCCTCATGAATATTACTTTAAGCATGTTAAATGCCTGTAGATCACACAGCTTATTTTTTCCACAGGTTTATTTTTAAACATTAGAAAAAAATTCTTTTTCAAAAAGTTTGCATCATAGCCACTGTGTGGCTCTAAAAACAAAACAAAAAAAGGGCGTCTGTAGTTATTTGCTCTAATTGCTTATAAGGAGAAATTTGCACAAAAACACAGACAGACATATTATGGATCATAACTACAGATAAAACAGACACAAATAAAGGGCCTAAGAGATAATCTACAATAAAAAGCCCATTTTGGAATTACACCAATAATGATATTTTTGTATTGCAAAAGTAAGACAAATTATATAGCTGCAGGAATACTAGATATGGATTATGTCTTCGTTTACAAATTCTGTTAATGAACCATCATGATATATAGTTAGGGTCAACAATGACTTTTAGAAAAGGAAAAATATATAATTATGTTCACCATAAGTGAAAAACACGAATTTAATATTTTCGCTTTTGTTACTGGGTAATATTTTCCAATCCAAAGTATACAATCCTCTTGAACAAATGCCATATCAAATTGACCATTTAAAATATTGAGGTTGTATCTGCTTTTATAATAGTTTTTGGTTGCTTGTTTGGGGTCCTGAAAATCAAAATCATTTTGTATGCACTAAGACATAGCAGCTATGTGGTGGGTAGAATGTTCATTATTTTGAAGAAGAATGAGCCAAATCATGGTGAGGTTCTTTTTTTTAAAATTGTGAAAAAATATAAGCTATGATTGAAACTTTGACAAATGAGCCAATGTAAATCCCACCCGCTCTTATGTAAGAGCTAACTTGATAGGAAAGATTTTTCACTGGTGACATTAAAATTTATGATGTAGGGGAGGAATGTGTTCCCAATGACTAATAATGTCTCTCACTGCAAACTAAACTAAGGTTCCCTCTACCTGGGACTAAATTGATGCCTGATTCCTCTTCAAATTATAGTTGATCTGGGGTTCTCAGTGATTCAAAATAAACTTAGCCTATCGAGTGAGAGTAAATAAAACAAAGCCAAGTTTCTTTTTAAGATGTGGCTCCATTGTGACAATGATGGCTGAAATGTAAAAAGTTACCCAGGTTGGGAAGACATAAGATGCAGTGGATGAAATACCATAGGTTCTCATGCTAAATACTGATCTTTGCTGGATTTCTGACTTCCATAGATTTATCCTGGGAACCAACATAGATGAGAGTTTTTTGATTATAGGTTCTCTTATTTATTACATGATTTGGAATAGAAAAGCCTTCACCTGTATGGCGTCTAGGTAGGGCTCTAGGGTTCTAGGGTTGTGATTTGCCTCTACTCTTAAAGGAAGCAGCTGGGACATCCCTGTCTTTGAAGACATGGCGTGAAGGGGGGTAGAATCAATTTGATGGGTGATCCAAGGGGACGTTGGGGGTACCAGAGCCATGAAAATGTTCTCATTGCTTCTTCAAAACTGACTGTACTGGCCAGCCTCTGTTAATGTAAACATAAAATCAAAGAGGCTCGGGCATGGTTTATAAATGCAGGATGAGAAAGTAAAGAACATCATCTACAAAAACAGGCAAACTAATAGCATGTGTTGGCAAATACTATACTTGGAAAGGATCTACCTTTTCTGCACACAAATATACATAATGGTATCAAAAGAACACACAAAAGTGCTATAGAGTTGGTAAAAAACAATCTGTTATTTTTCAATATTTTTATTGATATGCTCAATAATAAAATACAAGTGTTAATAAATACATTGGTACAGGATAAGTTTATATCCAACAACAGAAAAAGAAAGATTCAAGTTGCAGTAATACAAGGAAAAGGTAAATAGTATAACATTAGAAAAGCAAAACTCCTTTAAGGACAGACTGAACCATCTGGTCTGGGTCTGAGATCAAGTAATACAGGTAGCAAGAGTTTTTGTTTTCCCACACAGGAAAATGAAGGCAGTTTTCCAAATACTGTGAATATACAAACATTGGGGAAGCAGTACAATCCATATACTGTATACTTCTGCCAGTGTTCTCTGGTACTCCGTTTCCCCACCTTGTGCAAATGCCTGTGGTACCTAAGGAAGGCTTTGCATATAAGTGCAAAGGTTTGCTCCCTTACGCTCTAAGAAGGCAGCGTGGCCCCTTGCTTATCTGCATGTCTGGATATTTTCCATCAGTGCCCTATTCCCAACAGCCCTCACCCAGTTCAAAGAGGACCTGTCATGTTCTAATTCTCCCCAACAGAAGCTAGTCTTGCTTTCTGAGCTTGGCGCCAGAAGGACCAAAGCACGTTTTTGCATCTGATTTCCCTGCCCCAATCATATGGAGAAATTAGACTAGACCCAGGATGGGCACTGTAAACACAGATGATCTCTT